GTTGTATCAGTGTCTGTCACCTCTCTCTGTTATGTTGTGTTGTATCAGGGTGTGTCACCTCTCTCTGTTATGTTGTGTTGTATCAGTGTGTCACCTCTCTCTGTTATGTTGTGTTGTATCTGTGTGTGTCACCTCTCTCTATAACAGTGTGTTGTATCAGTGTGTCACCTCTCTCTATAACAGTATGTTGTATCAGTGTGTGTCACCTCTCTATGTTGTGTTGTATCAGTGTGTGTCACCTCTCTCTGTTATGATGTGTTGTATCAGTGTGTCACCTCTCTCTATAACAGTATGTTGTATCAGTGTGTGTCACCTGTCTCTGTTATGTTGTGTTGTATCAGTGTGTGTCATCGCTCTCTGTTATGTTGTGTTGTATCAGTGTGTGTCGCCTCTCTCTGTTATGTTGTGTTGTATCAGTGTGTGTCACCTCTCTCTATAACAATGTGTTGTATCAGTGTGTGTCACCTCTCTCTATAACAATGTGTTGTATCAGTGTGTGTCACCTCTCTCTATAACAGTATGTTGTATCAGTGTGTGTCACCTGTCTCTGTTATGTTGTGTTGTATCAGTGTGTGTCGTTGTATCAGTGTGTGTCACCTCTCTCTGTTATGATGTGTTGTATCAGTGTGTCACCTCTCTCTATAACAGTATGTTGTATCAGTGTGTGTCACCTGTCTCTGTTATGTTGTGTTGTATCAGTGTGTGTCACCTCTCTCTATAACAATGTGTTGTATCAGTGTGTGTCACCTCTCTCTATAACAGTGTGTTGTATCAGTGTGTCACCTCTCTCTATAACAGTATGTTGTATCAGTGTGTCACCTCTCTCTGTTATGTTGTGTTGTATCGGTCTGTGTCACCTCTCTCAGTAGTGGTGTGTGTGTTCCACATGAAGGTGTTTACCTGTACAAGACAGGATGCTGGTGCTGAAGCCTGATGTTAGAAACCCCCGGGGAACAGCTGACTAATTGTGGTGTGATAGCTATGTAAAGATAGTTGTTGTCTGAGGGACAGGCAGGTCCATTATTAAACAGGGATGACATCATTCAATTATGACAAAACTCTTTGTTACACTGTTTGTATGTTGGGATTGTTGTTTGGAGAACCGAGAGAGCTGTGTATACTGACAGTATTGTGACAAACAAATGTATTGTCTGGTTTTTCTTACTACTTTGGTATTGTAATAATACTGTATTTACTGATGCGAAGATCAGACACCGTAATAAGGTTCAGGAGAACACAAGCAATGATAAGTATTGTAGACATCTACGAGGCAGAGATAGAACATGTATTATACAGACAGAATTGTATGTAGTGGGTACAATTATAAAAAAAAAAATTGTCATTGTATTGTCTCTGATAGGCAAACAATTTCCCAAGGCCGAAGGCATATTGCTTTGATTGGTTCGTTAAGACAAGGAATAGCCCTGAAACTATAGCCTGGTAAAATGAGCTACCCGTGTAGCTAGAATAACATCCAACCTTTTCATTGTATTACTACATAAACATATAGTGACAAACACACAAAAATATTATAATAACGGCTCTATGTATGATGAGGCTTGGATAGATGAAAGGGTTTAGTAAATATCAAGTGAATTACACAACATTATTTACAGATGGTGGAAGCTGTTTGAAAAGTGACTCCCAAAGCAGCAATCATTTTTTGCAAAAAAAATGTATATAACAATTGGATGGCATTGGTAATGATACAACAAACCAATATAATTGAGATTTCTGTTGTGTATGTGTGAGCTGTATAAAACGTAGCTGCTGGTATGGTAGTATCTACCATAAAAATAACTTGGTGAGCAAATCGTCTTCGTGACAAACAGGTACATCTGAAATAATGAACATATGTTACTCATAGCTCCTGTATTGCCCAATTGATGCCGACGTAAGGCCTGGGGGCCAAAGTCTTATAAAAGTATCCACTGACTAACTTGTCGTGATTCTAGGGCCATATAGGACCACAGGGACAGGCCTATACCCAGTAATTTGTCGGTGAGCAGCTCCGTCAGCCCAGATCCTAATCGGCCTGTCCTGTTATATGCTCTGTGGTAGACGGCCAACCTTACAGAGTATGAGTACGAAGCATGCTGAGAACGGCGAGGTTTAGCTTGGATATAGTGATGCAGCTTTCTTATTGGATAGATTGATTTTTCTCATTCAGCATGGAATCAATTGCCGTTGATCAGTATTCCTGTGTGGTGTTGGGATCAGGTCTTCCGTCGATGTCGCCGTACCATTGCCCCACTCCCACTTGTTGAAGTTTGGCCGTTACAGTTGAATCAACAATACCAGTGCCATCATAGCAGGCTATAACCATCCATCAGTGTTCGGTTAAATCACTGGCTTTGTTTGTATACAACTACTAAGACTTTTTCTAACGCTGACAATTTATACTTGATAATGAAATTAATGAAATACATATTCGAACAAGGAGGTATAGTGATGATGCAATTTTTTTGATTTTTTTTTTGAGAAAAAAAATAATGTGGAAGATTTGAATCGATGATTACTGCATTTATCACTTAAATGAGAATTTCTGAAGTTTTATTTTTCCATTTTTATCTAATCGGGAGACTGGTTGGAACGTTATAAATTCTTCCATGTGACGTTGATGGATGGGTTGAAAGCATCGAGAATATTGATACGACACCGGGCTTGACTCTCGAAAAAAAAGTCTGAGTTATCATTTTCTGTTAACAGTCCAAGAAACTTCGCAACAAACATTTCCAACTTTCAAATTGACCTTATAAGGGCATTTGATTAATGCCTCTGTGGACGTTTAAGAGGACAAATTGGACAGAGGTTTACGATGAGTAACGATGCGATTGACAGAAGGCTCCGAGTAATTTGTAATCCATGTCGAGCTCTCGCTGTGTAGATTCCACAGTAATTAAAGTCTGTGTTGACTTAGAAACAGAAATGTTCAGGCTGTGGAATCTTCCCCGACTCTGAGGCACAGACCCGAAGGATAGATCGACGCAGCCAATAAACAGTGCAGGTCTTCATATTGAAAATCGGTGCGATATTGATGTGGGGTCGGAAATGTATGGCAATTTCATTGGGAATTATCTTGAACCGTGGAATAATATAACTTTTCAAAGAGAATTACTTGTATATGTATATGGTCATACAAATTACAGGTACATGTATGTATAACGTCATCTGAACCTATTTCCTTACTTTTAAGGTATAAGTAATGGAGATTAAATTCCGGACCATGTAACTCAACTGATGGCAACAATTATCCTCGGCTAATAATTCTCAATGACTACGCTATAGTGTTACTAAGCTCTACCGCTGTATAGAGACACAGTGTGTAACTTAAAACACGGATAAAAGAGATATTTTCCAGGCCTAGGGGTATAACCTTCATCAATTCAACATGTATTTGATCCTTTTTAACTATTGATTTTTATCCTATTCATGGACAAATGATGATCTATAATTGACGTGATCATGATGTGGCAGATTTTTTTTTTTGAAATTCAATATCTAAATCAATTTTCAGGTTATTGCTGAATTAATTTTAAATTAATACACCAAAATTTGGGAAGATCTATAAATAGTTACTTATTAATATATGGGCCTGCATTGTTCTACATAATTGATTCTCAAAATAATTTTTGCATGTTTCATTCTTGGAATGTATGTACAGATGGCACTTCAATTGGATGTCTAGGACAGACAGAGTTGTGGTCTCCTATACAACTAAGTGTGAGTAAGATATTTACAAGTAACAGAACATCGTGTGACTGGCTCTGTCTCATCACTTGGTAGTTCGTTGGATCGTAAAGAAATACCAGGAGTGTAAGACTATCCCTAAGTCAAAATGGAATATATGCGACTCAAATTTGAATTCAATTAAATATGACAGTGACTTTCCCTAAGTGTGCATCAGTTCTTATGTAACCTCCAGTGGTGAAGAGTTTCCCACATTGGTGTGTCACACAGGTCTGCTGTATAACTAACACTGGTAATGAAGATCTATAGTCTCTGATGACTGCATACTGTAGCAGGAAGTTAACACCGGAGGAACCATTATCTGTCCAGTATCACAACTCATCTGTCTCTAGGTCGTCTTACCTTCAGTAATTCACCTGGTGATCAGAAATCAAGTGCTGTTTTAGCTTAATTTTAAACTTCTTAACATCTCTACATCTTGTAAGCTTAGTTCTATCCTGTTTTTACCCTCAAGTGGATTTATCGAGTGGTGTTAGGTGAACCTGCTTGTGAATAATCCCTGCCATTCACTGAACATTTCTGCTTAAGTGGAATTTCTCCACCAGTAACTGTCGCCATTTTGTGAGCATTGACTTCTTTTTATAGACCTTGATTTCCCAGGGTAACCGGCTCAAGACGAATTTTAGAACGTCATAACTTCAGGTACTTTAATTGCGCTGAAAGCCACTCCGAAATTTAGTGCCGTTTTAGAGCAATATTGTTTCAGGTACTGAAGCTGTAGCTCGCTATAGAGACATTGGAGGTTCTGAAACCCTTGCTTACTTTGGAGACGTTTCTGTAGCCATTTCTGTCTGTAAGTGGTGTATATGTGTAAGTGTGCTGGATGGGTGTGTTAGAAGCTGTACCATTACACTAAGCCGTTGTATTGGTTTTATCGCAGTGGACACTTGTTGTAAGGGACTTACTTTGAGACCCTTTCTGATTGCTATTGTCCAAAAGACTGCCATCCATCACCTTAATAACAGTCGAGCACCTGTTTTGAGGACTTGGCTGACCAGTCCTTACGAGGGAGCTGCGTGGAGTACATGACAATCAGAGATGTAGATGATGAATGTGACGGGAACGTTGAGTTTGATACTTGACCACTGTAGGTCTCTGATGAGCTCATCAAAGTGGACGGACGAACCACACTGAGGAATTCAATTTCAGAATATGTCGGAATTCACTTAGGTTTCCGCTAATGAGTCTGAGTCTATGTGATGTTTTACAAATGAACTTCGTAGGAAGACCTCACACTTCTAGAATGATTCTATTATGAATCAATTTCAATCTGTCTGTACCCCTCAAGTGTTATTTTTTTTCCGTCCGTTCACTGTTGGGACACAACAGTTTCGGTCTTTTGACGCGTTGACGTCTTCTCTGACAGTGATATGACCGAAATTCTGTTGGTCAGTTGGCCAGAATGTGTTACAGTATCAAAAGTACTGGTCAGCTCCTGCGACTTGTGATTGCTGTGCCAAGATTGTCTCAATATGCAACGATTGATGGTGACAGAGTTACAGCTATATTTATTCATGATGGCTAGAATTGATCTCGTCTGTTTGATTTGATGGAGTACAGATGGATTCCATTTTATGCCAACAAACAACCAAGTGCTTGACAGAACATGGATGGGGTTTCTTACTTGGAAATTGTCCGTAGGTTTAGAAAAAAAAAATTATCGACAAGTGGTGGTCTGTCTTTTATTTTCATAATCCTAGCCAGCTAGCTATAGTGCACGGTCAACATAAATTGTGTGTTTGGCTGCATTTGTGGATGTTTTTTTTTTCCATGTGTGCGTTTTTGTGAAAATGATAAAGGAAAATAAGCCACATCGGCATTATTCTACAATGAATGGCCGAGGTGACGTCCATTCAAAATGTGCTTCTATGAAATCGTCCGAGTCTTGCACGGCAAACTTTCTAAAGAAATATGGCGATCAAAAATACCGGACTCGAAAGTTCAACCTGAACATGTACTGGTATGGCTCCTTGTATCGTAGACTTAACAGATGGGAGCGCACCTGGAGCTTACATCACAACCCCATATATGGTAAGATCTCGTTTGTGAAGTATGCACATATCTTTGAGTTCTTTTGAATTTTTTTTTTTTTTTTTTTTTTTTAATCATATATACCCTGGATTCTTTTATTAAATAGTTATGTAGTCTTCATATAGCCGTGTATTTTATTGTTCAGATCATTATATGGGTGTACAAGCTTAAATTTCCTAATACATATAGCGGTATATGTATTGGTAAATGTTATGCATGCTGATCATGTGTATGATATCGGCGTTTGAATATAAAGTGTGATAATAAATTGCTAAATTCAACACCAGTACTGCAATGAAATAACAATTTTGTAATTTAATAATAATAAAAAATCTTACTCCGATAATTCAATCCCAGCTTAATTTTATTTCAGAAGTATGGAAATAATCCATGATAATTGGATTGCCAGTGTTATAATATGTATATGAATCACAGTTACAATGTGTGGAATTGAATGATCACTGTACCAGCACTGTGATGTAGTTTATAGTTTGTCATGAGTGATTATAAGGTTCTGAGTTGAGTCGTCAGTCGCATGTACGTGTCATGTCGACTGACTCCTTATCTTCAGCATGCAGGTGCGTGACTGTACACAGATCCCTTGGGTTCTCTTGTGTAGTTCTGTTTCTGGTGTCACCGTCAAGTAGGAATATGGAACAGACAAAATTGTTGTCAACTGATAGCACTGTGTTTTTATTTGGTGTTCAGCGTATTGACTTGTATTAACAGATCCAGAAATCTATATTAAAACGTGAATGAGTGAGACCTAACTGGTACAATGTTGATAAGGACTACATGTGTGACATTATGTGGTTGCGTTTAAGGGTATATGCTACCTCACTGTGATGCCCATTATCTTTCCAAAATAGTTCCATGCTTAAGGCTATATGCTACCTTCTTGTGACATAAGGATGTATACTAACTAAAATACTATGACATGGAGACTTAAAGACGTAATTATTGCTACCTTCCTATGACATGAAGACCTAAGGATGTATGCTACCTTTCTGTTATATGAAGACTTAAGATGTAGCGCTATGTTACCTTACTGTGACATGGAGACTTAAGGGTGTATGCTACCTTACTTTGACAATTGGAGACTTAAGGATGCATGCTACCTTACTGTGACATTGAGACTTACGGGTGTATGCTACCTTATTGTGACATGGAGATTTAAGGGTGTATGCTACCTTACTGTGACATGGAGACTTAAGGGAGCATGCTACTTACAGTGACTTGGAGACTTAAGGGTGTATGCTACCTTACTGTGACATGGAGACCTACCTTACTGTGACATTGGACTTAAGGGTGTATGCTACCTTACTCTGACATGGAGATTTAAGGTTGTATGCTACAGTATTGTGACATGGAGACTTAAGGGTTTATGCTACTCTACTTTGATCCCATTTCCTTTTCAAAAAGAGTTCCACATCAAGATGTATGTAAAAGGTTAAAGAAATAGATGATACTTGGCTGATAGGTACTCCAGATTGAATACTATGATTACAGTCAAGTGGTTCTTGATTATTTTAAAGGAAAAGAATAAAATAAAGGGTATCTTAATTGTAAGTATAATGTGTAAAATAGCATATCACTTTGATGCCGGGAAAATCACAAGTATAATATTTAAGCTATTATATAACCTGAATTTTGTAATTTTATTATCCAGTAAAATCAAGTAAAATATTCCAGAGTACCTTTGATGGTGTTATATAGTTACATGTACTACCTGTAATGGTAATATACACCTGTGATGGTGTATAACTACCTGTGCTACCTGTGATGGTGTTACATACATGTACATGTAGTACCAGTGATGGCACTACATACCTGTAGTACATGTGATGGTGTTACATACCTGTAGTACCTGTGATGGTGTTACATACCTGTGATGGTGTTATATACCTGTAGTACCTGTGATGGTGTTACATACCTGTAGTACCTGTGATGGTGTTACATACCTGTAGTGCCTGTGATGGTGTTACATACCTGTCGTACCTGTGATGGTGTTACATACCTGTAGTGCCTGTGATGGCGTTACATACCTGTAGTACCTGTGATGGGGTTACATACCTGTAGTGCCTGTGATGGTGTTACATACCTGTCGTACCTGTGATGGTGTTACATACCTGTAACACCATCAAAGGTACTACAGGTATGTAACACCATCAAAGGTACTACAGGTATGTAACACCATCAAAGGTACTACAGGTATGTAACACCATCACAGTCACTACAGGTATGTAACACCATCACAGGTACGACAGGTATGTAACACCATCACAGGCACTACAGGTATATAACACCATCACAGGTATGTAACACTATCACAGGTACTACAGGTATGTTACATATCTGTAGTACCTGTGATGGTGTAACATACCTGTAGTACCTGTGATGGTGTTACATACATGTACATGTAGTACCAGTGATGGCACTACATACCTGTAGTACATGTGATGGTGTTACATACCTGTAGTACCCGTGATGGTGTTACATATCTGTAGTACCTGTGATGGTGTAACATACCTGTAGTACCTGTGATGGTGTTACATACCTGTAGTACCTTTGATGGTGTTACATACCTAGCGTACCTGTAATCGTGATATATACCTGTGATGGAGCTATACACCTTTATTACCTGTAATGGTCTTATATATAGCTTAATTACCTCTATAATTGGCGCATCTTAGGAAGTCGTCGTGTCTATAATCTGCACAGTTGATGTCTTACCGTTTTCATCAGAACATCACAAAATATTGATTAAATCATGTTTTTAAAACAAAAACAGCACAATTTGATATTTATGTCTCGGCACATTGTCTTTGATGATGCTGCAAATTGCTCAGCCTGCAGTACCTAAAGATTACAGGTATACCTATGCCTTCACATAGAGTGCTCTCAAGTCTAGAAACCATACATCCATATATGTATATATCTTGCAATTTGCAATGAAGGTCATTTGTAGCAGATTAACCGCCTCACACATCTTTCTGTGGGTTGGCTGTCTTTGATGTATATTGCAGGTCATTAGCCATCCTGATGAATCTACATAAAAAAGTCATAGTGCATTGTGAGAGCATTTAAATGTATCTTTGTTAAGTTTGAGGGAAAAAATCATTGGTTTCATGTAGACATTTAGGGTTTCGCGAAATTCCTCGATCGGACATGAAAGGTAACGGGTCATAGGTCTTAACTCATTCGCCCCTGAAATTTCATAATGAAATATTCTAACCTTTGATTTGGAAGAGTTCATATGTGTCTTCAGGGGTGAATGAGCTAATTTGGTTTTCACCGAGTATTCAGGAGTCGTTCCCAGTCCCGAAGTTGAGGTTTTCCTTTAACAAGAAACCACTTATACTCTACTGCGCTATTGAAGTAGAATAAAAAATTCATTAGTTGTGTTACTTTCACTATTTTAGGAAGTTAGAATATCATTCAACATGTGATCATTTAGGTATAGCATGATTTCAGTAGACCATATCCTGTCCAGAAAGAGTTGTGCTTCCTGAAAGTACTCTAGGGCCACGTGTGATTTCACATTAAGAAATCAGAATTTAACTTTGATGAGATACAGGTGCCTTTATCCTTTGATGGTTGATTAAGTTTCCTGTTTAATATTTCAGTAGATCCATAGGGGGCCAAATTGTGTACAAAAATCAAAATAAGTCAAAGTACGGTAACCGTAATATGTTATTGCCCTTGTACAAAAATAAAATTAGTGACCAAATTCTGCCCTTTCAAATTCATCACATAGGATTTCCAAATTGTTAAGTTTTTCAAAAAAAATATAATCTGTTTTTTAAAATAATGATATAAGATAAATTAAAAGATGTTTTCTGACATTGTTATGTTCTGAATGCAGCCTTTCAATAAAAGCTTTAAGTCATTCAGATTCTTTTCTAGCAGTTAAAACGTTTTACTTCCACAAACTTAAATCTGTACCTGGAAAGTTTCTTGTTACATTCCTGCAATATAGAATTATGAACCTGAAAGTGTCTATATTTTTGTACTGATTTAGTAAGGCAAGATAAATGTAAATTTTCACTTTAAGCGTACAAGAAGAAAATATTTATCATGCTCCCAATTATGGCGTATCATTAGCTTTGTATCTTATGGTATTTGGTCAAAGAAGGAATACACTGTTCTTGTTCAAGCAACACAAGTTTGTCATAACAGCTATATTATATCTATAATGTTACATAAGATGATGCTTAAGATATCTGAAAAAGTTGTAGACACGATGAAATGCAATTTTGAATTTCATAGAAATTATAACATAGTGATAATTAATCCTTATTGAGAAGTATGAGACAATTACCCTGCCAACTCAGATAGCTCAGTGATCCAGTCCTGACCGACACCGATCAACACTTCTCACAGTTTGTCTTTCCAAACATGATTAGAAGCATCATCACCATTTGACATATGATTCATGAGAAATGTCCGTCTTTGCCTTGTCTATTTATACATCAGGCGAGGTGAATTGAATTCATCAGGTTATTTTTAAAAGTTGCCAGTATGCATATATGTCTAACACATTTAATAGTCAGATGTTAAAACATCCAATGATTTATTTAAACATAAATACTGACTATGATCTCTTTACCAATAAATACTTCATCACCTGACTTTCACCTTTTAACATATATACTGTACCAGTATTGTGAGTTTTTTATTGCAAAAATTGTATATTTTCTTTGAAGTTCTGTCAAAAGAAAGATGGTTCTGCATAAAATTCCTTAAATTCACATTGATTCCTGAGTATTTTGATATACTACCTCCGTGAGTATCTCTTAACATCTCGCTATTGTGAGAATTATGTATCAAACTTGGTCCATGTAATAAAAATTTCAGGAGCACCTGAAGTTTCTGCCCCTGGAGATCACTTAAAATTTCCCTGTTTCCTTATCAGCGATGGGATCGCTTAGAACTGCATTAAACAGATGTTTTATATAATGGCAAATTTCCATAGTTAGGTTTTACATCATATAGCAGAT